TTCACATATTACATCTATCTTAAAAAATTTTATAAATATGTAAAATTTTATTAAATTAATATATATTTATATGTGTTTGTATGTATTTACAATATTTAAATTATATTTGACAATAACCAAATAATTAATTTTAATTATGCAAATATTATATTTATATATGATACAAAAATTTGTTATACATGTTAATTTTGTTTGAAAATTTTTATATTAATTTATATTTCAATAAAAAATTTAATAAATTAAATTAAAACATTTATCCTCACTGATGAAGATTCCTATGTCCGTCCCTAGATGGAGAGGAGCAGAAGGTTGTGTTATTCGCAAAAAAATCATTGCCGGCGAATGGCGGTTGGAGGCGTCAGGCAATAGACAAATGCCGGGTTCTTACAATGGCTCTGATTGGATATGAAAAATTAGAAAGAGAAGAGCAAAATAGCAGAAGAAGAAGAGAGAGAAAAAATAAAATTTGATTTTTTTCTTAAAATTAAACTTAATTTTATTTTTTTTTTCACGCCAAGTGTGCACGAGGTTATTTTTACCTCATGTAACTATTAACTTAAATGATGTGTGCATTTCACAATTTTATTTCCCTCACAAAAAATTTTTATTTGAGATCCGACATTTAGAAAAAAAAAAAAATAATAATAAGTTTAATTTAGGGTTATATTTTCTAATTTTTTGGTAAATCTTGTGTCATAGAGAGCTGAAATCTTGAAATGATTTACGGAACAAAAGTTGTCAATTCATCATCGGTGCCACCAAAAGCGCATTTGTTTTTCTCTCTCTATTGCTCTCCGGTCAATATTAGTTAACCGACCAAATTCTTGGTTGATTGTGAAGCATTAATTGGAGGCTGTGTTGTGATGAAAAGACTGCAACCTCTTCTTAAATGGGTTTGTTTGACTTTATCCAAACTTGGCACCAAACAGGGCTTTGCAGATAAGGTGGAATAATTGCACAACTAGATTCATTCATTAACCTAACTGGCTTAATTGCTACACACAAATATATGGCTGTCATTTCTTTTCCATTTCCTAGTACGTAAAGGGCTTCCATTTGGGAAAGAATGTTTTTCATTACTTTAAAACATTAATGAGGTTGGCCTAACAAAAATAGTGGAGAAATTCGTTACTTTATTTTAAGATCATACATGTATTTTTCATATAAATTTATCATTAATATTTTCAAATTATTTTTTCTCTTTAATTAATTTTGTTATCTTTCTGTTCAATTTAAATTTATTAAATTTCAATAATGAATTGATTTAAATATGCATTGTAAACCTTAAAATAAAAATGTGAATATTTACACTATTTTTTTAAATACTGGAAATGATTCTTTTCCCTTGGATTTATGAGATGTACGAGATTGGTGGAAATCTCTTCTATTATTTTTTTGTTATATATATATATTTATTTACTATTTATATGAGATTTAAGAATTAATTGTGGATAATATTATGATGATCAATATATTAAAAAATAATACATCAGAACAATATATGAAAAACAATATGTAAAAAATGTAGCAAGATAAAAAAATTTCTCTTGCAATTGGATTAAGAGAAATTTATTCTTTGAATGAAAGGATGGAAAAACGAATAGTAATTAAATTGATTTAAATCTCAAGTCCCCGCATGACTATGTTTAATTTAATTTTATATTGACTTTGTTTAATTTATTTGTTTATTTAGTTGGTTTATTAATTTTTTTTCTACATTTTATATGTGTATTATGCCAGATACATACAAGTGTGCATGAAAATTTGTTTCATTACGACTATAATCTATTTTTGTGAATGAAATCACTTTAAAAAATCAGTTTTATATCGTGTTATTGCTTGCTAATTCACTTAAATAAATAACCATTTTATAAAATCATTTTTTAATTGCAAGCATTAGTAGGAAGCCTCCTACTTGGTAAACAACTAATTATCTTGATGTGAACATTTTGGCATTCAAAATAAAATTATTAAAAATATTATTTCGAAAAAATATATATATATATATCTATGCAATGTTTTTAAATTTTACTAGTATTAATAATAAATAAATACATATAAAAAATACAAATAATTAAAAAAATAAAATATATACGACATTATCGCATTATTATATACTATTGTTGATGAACGAAGTTATAGTTTTAATTAATTATAAAAATTAGATTAATTTTCAATAAAGAGAAGCTGCCTTTCTCATCATCAGTTGGAGATTGATGGCAAAAGTTTTCAATTTCCCCTTTTGTCAAACACGCAGTGATCATCTCTAATTTTGATGGTTTCAGCTTTCAAACATTGGTGGGTCAGCCAAAGGCAAACTTGCAAGAAAATTTTGTTTCCTAAATTGACTCAACTAGTTCAGTGTTAAGAATCTATGGGATTTGAAATAAAAAAAAAAATCATAACTCTAATAGGAATCCAAATGGCTCTCAAAATCAAACACTAACTAAAATTTTAAAAATATTCTGTCACTCTCTCTTTCCTTCAAATTTAAATGAAATGACCTCTCACAATTTTTTTATTCTCTCAGTTTGTGCTTAAGTGTGCAAATTTTCAATGATTCGATTCATTTTCTCGCCATCCCACTTCCCTTGCATTTATAAGAGATAAATGGACATATTAAACTTCCATCATTGACAGCTGATTTTGCAAACAAGTGCCCTTTTAAAGTTATTATATTAAATTTCATTCAAAGCATTAAAAATTATCAAATTAACCATTAAATATTATATCAAATATAAAATTATTTTTACAAATAATAGTTAATTATTTTTTAAGAGTGTCCTAAATACACTTTCAATAAAATTTTTAGATTCTATAAGCAAAATTATATCTAGTTTAGCACTACTGTTAAATTAACTTTTACGTTCAAAAACTGCTTTTGGCCCTACTTTAATGCTAAACAACAAATAAAAAAATGGCTTTTTAGTTTAAAAGTTTGGTTTTGCAATCTAAACTAAAGAGCTATTAAAAGAGATGGTTTTACGGTAATAAAAAATTTAGGATAAAAAATATTATATTACCATATATTTTTAATAATTTATTATTTTATGCAAAATTATTAAATATTTTAATTGCTCACAGCATTTTTTCACAACAATATTAAATATTTAAATTTTTAACCACATTTTTCTGGCTACATTTGTTAAACACATATTTTTTTCAATCCAATCATTTTTCAACCACAACAATAATGCTAAACTATGATGATACATATCAGGTAAGATATAATTAAAAAATAAAAAATATAATATGTATAAAATTTTTAATCTTATAAAATTAAAAAAATCAAATAGTCAGTGTATCAGATACTAAGGGGTCATTTGGAGATATTTTTGTTTTGTGTTTTATGTTTTTGTTTTCACTTTTTTTGAAAATTGGAAACAAAATTATGTTTGGTGGATTGTTTTTGTTTTAAAAACAAAAATTAAAAATAAAATTTTGGAAATTGTTGGAAGTGAAAAAAAATAATGTTTTCAATACTTTAAAAACATTTCATTCAATGTTGCTTCATTGATGAACAGTACTCACGAGCGAACAGAATCGGTTTTAATAACAGAATATTGAAAAGCTGTCAAAACTTTGATTCAAACCCCTGTCAATTGATAAACTATATACTCAACCACTTCCCATTGTATTCCCTTATTTTATTTGTTCTACAACAAAAATATAATTTTCAAAGGAGCCTTCAATTTCAATAAAATGAAAATAAAACAAAATAAAATTTTCAAAGACATAAATCATAGAACTCACAACAATTTCAAACGATCCCTAATATAATTTTTATTCCATGCATCGATTCAAAATTATTTGTGTAAAAGTTTTTCAAGCAAATGACAACTTTACCATTGAATTTTGGCCAATATTCAATTTGGCCACTCAATTTTGATTTTATTTTATTTTTAAGTTAACTTGTTTAACTTTTATTTTAATTTGTTCAATTCGGTCGAAAATTTTATGATAAAAATTTTTTCATAGAATATTCTCTCTCAATCTCACGAAAAAAAGCTAACTTGAAAATGTAAAGCAAAAAATAAACAATTTTGAAATTAATTAAATATATTTTTTTTAATTAATGTTTTCCTAACATTATCTTAAATTGATAATATCCTAAATATTTTTTTTAAATTTTAATTTAATTAGTGCTCTAATTCACATTACTAAGTAAAATTATGAGCTTAAATAACAATAAACTAAAATAGAATTTAAACATTAATCAAAGAGGGCAAACTAAATTTTAAAAAAATAGAAATAAAAAATAATATGATTATTATTATAAATACAATAAAATATTAATTAGTATTGAATAAATAAAAAATTTTTATGTGATAATTTGAATTATAATTATTAATTAATGTATAATTATTTCTAACTATGATTATTTTTAAATTAATAATATATGGGAAAATAATTTCTCTAAGTACTATAATAATTAATATATTCATAAATTAAATATCATATAAAATAAAGTTTAGATATCATATTAAATATTTTTGTATAATTTATTAGCTATTCACGACATTAACCTTAAAAGAAAAGAAAAGAATTTTTTAAAATTTTCTACTACGGTGTTTTCCTTTTTTATTTTATGTATATTATTCTTATGGTTGAAACAAATATAATTGTTTTGATAATTTCTGAATAAATTTCATGAAAATAAAAAAGAAGAAAAGTTCACTAAATTGAATGAATCAAATTAAACCAAGTGGAATTATTAAATATCAACAAGAAGTTTATTGGTAAGTTGAATATTCATCCCAAAATTTTTTAATTTAATTTTTACAACTCCAATTTGCAGATATCAGGCACTGGTGGCAGCACTTCAATTTTGATTTAAGCCTCTTTTTACTTCATAAAGTTTTGTGGTTTAGACAATGTCCAAGCATTCACAAATTCTTAAAAAAAAAAAAAAGCCATATATCCAAAATTGTTTTTTTTTTTTTTAAAGAAAGAACTTAAAAAAAAAATTTAGACATACAAACTAATTGGTTTATCCTCAACTTAAAAAACTTTGAATTCACAGTTGCTGTAACTTTTGGACAAAAACTTGAAGAAAGGAAAAAAAAATAATCTTAAGAGATGCCATGGCTGATGGCACAATTAAACTCAGAATATAAACCTGTTGAAAGCTAAAATGAACTATTGGTTAACTGTAAAAAAAACATGAAAGGGTTCCCCTTCAATGCTAGCTCCTGAGTTCCCACAGTTCCCCCACGCTCCATAGCCCATCTGCAAAACCATCATTAACCCAATTGTTCTCTGCCATGTGGCAATCACCAACCGGCTTCGCGAAATCCCCAAGTGCTGATGTGGATGCCTGGTTGATAATTTCCATGTTATAGCAACTACTGTTATTAAAATTATCAACATAATAGCTATCCATTGCAAGCATGTTATAGTCATTGTTATCAAACATTCGAAAAGGACTTGTTTGGTATTCTGCAAATTGAGAAATTTTCGAGATATTATTCATAGATTCTGAAGAAGAAACACATGAGTCTGAATTCTGCTCCTTCTGGTCCAAACATTGTACTGCTTCACTCAGATTACCAGGCCCCTGCCCTGGTACTTTTTGCACTGTCATTAATGCTTGATGCTGAGAAGTTAGGTCTAGTGATCGAAGAACTGGTGAGTTTTCGGAAGTCATGATGGATGAAGAAGTGGATGACCCTTCCATCTTTTGAAGCAATCTTGGCATCCAAAGACATCGAATAACATTTCTAAATGCTGTGCTATTAGCATCAATCTTAAGATAACGCGCCTGTTTTTGCACACGGGTTCTCCAGTAATTTTTTATCTCATTATCTGTTCTCCCTGGTAAATGTTGTGCAATCTTGGACCACCTAGAAATCATAAAACAAAAATATGTCATGTCCGATCAAATAACAAAACTGTCAGAATATAAACTATAACTATTAGTATTACATCCATGAAATACAGCTTCACTGATTCTGCAAGGTGTTGCCGGGCAGGCGACTTAAGTTTTATGAAGATAGGAAGAAAAGGAGAAAGGAAGGAAGGGGGGCAAATATTGGAGCCCTTGCACAAAATATTAGCCGTAAAAAAATACTCACACGATTTAGACAGTATGGTTATAAGAAGAAAGTTAAGGCAAACGATAAATGATTTAGGCTAAAAATAGAAAATAACAAAATTTATGAAAAATCTTTCAAAATAAAAATAGGCAAATTAAAATAGTACAATATCTTAAGCTTTTTGGTTAAAGCTTAAAATTCACAACAATCGAAATAAAATAAAAAAGTTATCTCTTTGGAAATTTACTATCAAATTGAAAGGAGTACTATGATTTTCTATGATAAAAATACCCAAGAAATATTTCAAAGAAAAACAATCATTAAATAAACCTTTTTCTTTTTTATTTTCTAAGCGAAGCTCTTACTTTATTTTTCTCAGTAATACATGGTGTATTTACATCTTTAGCTTTTACATATAGTGGTGGATTTGTGGCAAACAGTAAGGTGTTCATAAACACTTCAAAATTAAAAAATAAAAAAATTTTCACATTTCCAAAATTTTTCCCTTAAAATATATACTCAGTGCCACCATCCAATACTTAATCCACATTCATCTAATTAAAAACTAACATTTCTAATAAATTTTCATCTAAATCATAATATAGTAATATATTATTTTTAATTTTTAATTTTAATTTTTCTAAACAAGTGAAAACCTAAAAAAAAAAAAATCATTGATCCAAATCTTTGTATAGGCTCCTTCAACGCGTAAAAAACTACTTAAAAAGAATAAAAAATTTCTTGTGAACATGAATCTTTTGGTGCCTTTCTGTCCTTTTTGTAAAATCAAATGGGGGCGGGACCCTATAAGTTCACCAACAGCAAATGCTTTTAAGTATTAAATGGAAAGTAAATTTATGAATTTTTAAAAAATTATTTAATAAAAATTTTAATTAAAAATTTATATCGGTAGATAGAATTTAATGTAAAACTAATAATAAGGAAAGAAATAATTAAAAATATTATTTATAATTTAAATTTTATCGATACTTATTTAACTATAAAAATTTTATCATTATTTGTAATGATACCTTTTAATTTATTAATTTTAATTTTTGATTTTAATTTTAATTTAATTATTTATAATAAAAAATTTTCCGAAAAATTTCATATAAGTCTTCCTCTCAAGAATTTTATATGTGATAGAAAATTGTGAGAGGAGAACCCCCAAATTCCGAAACAGTTCAGAGACGACTTTGGAGGAGCATTTCGTTCATGCTGAGAGCGAGATAAGAATCATGTAATGTAATTACATAGTTCTTCAAAAACAATAATTAAAGGATTGTAGATTGGAAATGTTAACGATTTATTAATGCATACGTTACTATCGTTTCGTCACCTCTGAGGCTGCTTTCTGTCTCTATCCAAAATTACTTATATATCTAACTTTATGTTAAGTTAATAGACCCTCTCAAAAGGCAAAATAAAAGTTGTAAACAAACAAACCCACCCCCCCCCCCCAAAAAAAAAAAAAAAAAAAAGATGATTACCTGTTACCCCACTTGGAATGGAGTTCAAGGATCAAAAACTGTTCTTGTAGAGTAAGGTTTCCACGCTTAATATCGGGTTTCAGATAATTTAGCCATCTCAGCCGACAACTCTTGCCAGTTCTCTTTAAGCCTAAGCCAAAAAAGGAAAAAAAAAATAATAAACTAAAAGTCTTATTAACATATAGCTCAACATAATAGATTTTATCAGATCCGTGATCGGTGAGTATTGGTTAAGTTACCTGCACGTTTTGCAAGCAAATTCCATAGGCCTTCGCCATGTAGAGCAATGTAATGAATGAGGATAGAGTCCTCCTCCAGAGTCCAGGGTCCTCTTCTGAGCTGCTTAGCATCATCTTCACTAGAATTTGTACTACTTTTTCTACTGGATGACATGCCTCTATCTGACTAAATACTCACCAGAAAATATAGTATTTTCTAAAGAAGAACATTTGAGTCTTGAACGGGAAGTGAATTTGCGTAAGTCACAGCCAAGGCCAAGATTTATATACTAATTTCAAAACTTCACCTAACTTACTGTACTTAATTAACAACTTTTCGAAAGGAAGTAGCTTGCACAAGTAAACGTCAAATGGAGTATATCCTTTGATAAGTCCTTACCTCCAACTAAGACAGAAAATTTTGGAAACTTTTACTCTACATGCAAACAGAAAATAATAGATCAAAAAATAGGATGGCCCGTAGCTTGAATTCTTGGTCAAAGATAACACCCCAATGGATTGATCTTTCTTGCCATCTTACCAATTAATCACAATTCCTTAGCCATCATATAGAAAGATAACAAATTGCCATGCTATAAAGCTAAAAACGGTTGACAGATCCTATATGCGTATGCATTTGAATGGTTAGAAATTACTTGACTGCTTAACAAATCACTAAAAATGGCCAAATTTCTCCCTTACTATGGAGCAAAAAAAGTAGAGAAAAAGGAAAAAAGGAATAGTTTACTTGTTGACAAATGATGTGGTGTTGTTACGGGAAATGGGTTTGATTCAGCCTTTGTTTTTTTTTCTTTCTTTTCAATTTTTTTTCTCACTAGATGCTTCAAATGCCTAGCATCGAAACGTGCTTGACTGAAAAAGTATTTATCATTACGGCATAGAGAAAAAATGTGGGTAATTGGTGTTTGCCAAAAAGAGCCCGGCAATTTGGAGGCTATAGCAATACAAGGAAAGCACCTCTCCTTCTGTTGGCTGTCGAACACAAACCAAAAAAGAAAAAAAAAGTTTTGGTCAGTTTTATGACAACAGTGCCATTTCCTATGTGGATCTTGTTTCCACAAAGCGCCATTAATTTTCGAGATAAAGACGGTGCAAAGCTATTTGGAATTTAGTTGCAGAAAAGTCCGCTAAATTTTTGTCAGTGCAGCTAATTTTGACTGTAAAATGTACTGTTTCTCGCCATATTATGTGCCGCTGCATCTTCTACCAATTGAAATTGTTGTGAAGGAATCAGGAAGATGCATATATTTGTAGACTGGATTCGGTTTACTCTTTTTAGTATCTAATATTTGGAGTATATTTAGATGAATCGTAAGATTGATTTTAATAAAATTAAAATAAATGATAGATGTGAGATTAATTATTGAGTAATAATATTAAAATTAATAATGAGATATATATTTAAATATAAAAATAATTAAGATAAAATTAATTATAAAGAAAAGAAAAAAAATTATTAAATATATTATAATAAAAATTATATTAAAAAATTAAATTATTTAATATTTATAAAATTATTAAATAATTAAAAAATTTTAAATTATTTTTAAATAAACTAATAGTTTTTCTATAAAAAATTAAAAACAAAAAATAGATGTAAAAATTAATAAAATAATTATTACATTAAATTAATAAAAGTATTTTATAATTTTTAAATAAAAATAAAATAAATAAAAAGTTAAATTATAAAAAAATTGTTGTCTTTGTAATATAATACAATTGTGAAGGGTAAAAAAAGACAAAAAAAATTCAAAGTTGACGCCACCAATTTCTATCAGTGAAAAACAGGTACTCCAATGCGGTTAATATACTGAATTAGACCGCTACTATGTCTTCCAAATGAATCCTTGTTAATTTTTAAGGATGCAATCGGCACTCCTCATGGGTGCGATTAGTGATGTAATCAATCAAATTTTAGTCAATATAATATTAAATTTAAATTTAAATTTGATTTAAAATTTGAGATTCGAAATTTGATTTAAATTCGATCGAATTTTTTTTTTAATTTGAGCTCAACTTGAATTGAGTTATTCGAGTTTGCTCGATTAAGTTTGATTAATATGTAAAAATAAATTTAATTTTTATATGTGATAAAAATTCAATTATTGATACTCAAACTCAAGCTCAAATTTAAAAATTTTATTAATTAAAATAATAAAAATATATTAAATTATAAAAGCTCGATTAGGCTTGTGAATTATTTGAGTCAAGTATAAAAATGCTCAAACTTAACTTAATCAATAAGTTAAGCTACTTAAGCGCAAGCTCAACTTAATAATAACCGAGTCGATTTTTAATTTTATTTGAGTCAAACTCAAATAGTTTATGAGTATTAATGTATTATTTACACTTTTAGGTGCGATTGCCTTTAAATAGGCTTTTAATTTTATAAAGAAGGGAAGAAAGTGAGGGTGTCCACATAACATCTCATCTTTACTTCAAAATTTTTAATTTAATTTAATTTTTATTAAATTTTTTAAAACTTTTTTATTTGTTTTATTAGATAAATTGTGTTAAAAAAAGCAAATGAAGATAGGGATAAAAAATAATCTGTATTTGATTAGATTTGATTTGTATCAATCAAATATAGGTATACATTTTTTAAAAAATCGAGATTGGATTGAATTTTTTTTTATCTAATACTTAATTTATAAAGAATAGGAAAGAAAAAGGTGTCACGTAGCACCCTATTTTTCCTCGATTCTATATTTTTTTATTTTTTATTTTATTTTTATTAAACCTTTTTTCTTTAAGTTTTTTTTTAATTTTTAATTTTATTTTTATTAGATAGATTTTATTAAAAAAAAGTCAATACAGTTAAAGACTATAAAACAATCCATATTTGATTGGTTTTGATTTGTACCAATCCAACATAAGTGTGTTTTTGAAAAAAATAAAGATTGATCAAGGTTTTTCTTTTTTAAATGTGGTTGGGTTAGAGATGGATTTAAGGTGTTCTACTTCAACTAGGTGTCCACGTGGCATCTTGCTTATATATATATTTTTCATTTTGTTTTTTCAAAGCTTTTGCTTTTTTTGGAATTTTTTCTTTTTTTTTTTAAAACTTTTTTACTTTTGCCTTTTATTAGATAAATTTTATAAGAAAAAGTCAATTGAAATAGAGATGACAAAATAATCCATATCCGATAGATTTCGATTTGCACCAATTCTATTGGTGCACTTTCTTTTAATTTGAGATAATTGGGTTGAGTTTTTTTTTTTTAAATTGAGCTTGAGCTAGAGTAAGGTTTTGAGTGTTACACATCGACCTTAGTATATATAAAAATACATATTTTATTATTTATTTAATTTTATATTTATATATATTTCATTAAAAATTTATATAATAAATCTATGTGCCATCCCATTAGTCGTTTTTGTCATTTTTTTTATTTTTAAAATTTATTTGTTAAATAAATTTTCTAAAGAAAAATTAATGGATACAACTTATATCCAATGTGTTTTAATTAGGTATGATCCAATCGTTGCATTTTTTTAAATAAAGATTGAGTTAAGTTTTTCTTTTTGAATAATTTAAGTCAAGTCAAGATCAAGTTTGGAGTGCTGTGCCTCAACCTTCCTTGGGATATATAAAAAATATATTTTATTACTTATTTAATCTATATATATGTATTATATTAATAAAGATATAATTTAATATTTTAATTTAATAAAAAATATTTATATATAATTAAATTATAATTTATATTAAAAATGAATATACTTATATTTGTCAATGTGTTGTTATCCATTAAAATTGACATAAAAATTTTACTTCTTTCATATAAAAAAATAATTTTAAAAAATATAATTGTCTAGCAGTTAAGTGCAAATCTAATTCTAATAAATATTAAATTGTGAAAGGTTGAGTGACACATGCCAAACTCTCTTGATTTTCTTTTTTTTTTTTCCTTTCTAAATAAAATTTGAACATTCCTTCAAAAAAAAATTGAACATCTTTCTTATAATGTCAAGGTAAGATTTGCAATTTTTTTTTTTTAATATATAGGAGGTCATAGTTTAAGGATAAGAGAAAAAATTATAGGTGTTGAAATTTGAGCTCCAAACTTACTTCATATTGCATTTTAAAAATGAATGCATGAACCAACCAAGAATTCAAAATTAATGTCAACAAAGTGATACAAATAAAAATCAAATTCAAAATTACTTTCGTAGAAACAAATGAATTTATTAATTGAATAAGTTTTTTCTTATATAGGTGGTCAAAGTCTAAAAAAAAATTGAGAAAAAGAAATTTATGCTTTGAGATCGCTATTCAACTTTATTAGAAACCACTTTTTAAAAAAATTGTGTAAACCATTTGAGTTAAGCTCTAAATACCTCATTTTTTTTTCTTTTATTAGCATTTGAATTTATATATCATAGGTAATTAACATGTAATCATTTTCCCCTAATCTTGACTTTGAATTTTATCTAAAAATTTTGATAAGATACAAAGAAATATATAGAACATTGAAAACATGATACAACCCTTTGGGATTGTCAGATATTGTATTCGAATTGTGTTAAGTACTTATCCTCTAAAATTGAGTTATTACTTGTTGCTTAAGTCCTTATATTGGAAGTTCAACTTTTAAAGTAATTAGATCTCTTCTAGGTCTCGACAAGGTTTTCCAAAAGGGTTTTGTGAGAGTTTTGTTTTGTCATAGTTTTGGAGAGTCTCTTCTAGTTTAGCTAGAAGAGTTTAGGTTAGAACCTTGTTTTTATCTTTTTAAAAGGATACGGGTGGAGTGTTTTTACAGATAGTTGATAGCGAAAAAACTAAAAGAGTTGTGGCTAAACTTTTCATTAACGGAGGAAGAGAAAAATGAATTTGAAATCGAGAGGGGGTGGATTGAGTCCGTTGAAGCAGACGGGAATGCCTACCTTTTAAGAAAGATAATGACCAAAAAAGGGGTGAACATGGAGGCTATGAGAACAGTTCTACACAAAAGTGTGAAAATTATTTAGAGGGATGTAGATGAAGGAAAATAGGGATAAAATATTCCTCTTTCAATTTGAAGATTAGTTGGAGAAAAATAGGGTGTTGTTAACATAACCCTAGACGTTTAATAAATCATTATCGGTGCTTTATAAGTTTGAAGGTTTAGTACCATTAGAGGCTATAAACATGAACTGGTGCTTTTTTTTGGATACAAGTGCATGGATTGCCGCTAAATATGATGAATAAATAGGTTGGAATAGTCTTTAGTGAATCCATAGGAGGTGTGGAAAAAATAGGGGTAGAAAGGAATGATATTGCATAAGGAAAGTTCATAAGTATTAAGGTTAATATAAATGTCAATACACCATTAAAAAGAAAAAACTAAAATCTTAGTAAAGGATGATGGAAAGGAACTTGTGTTTTTCAAATATGAAAAATTACCAAATTTTTGTTATGTATTATGATGAGCTTGATGAAAAAGAGCAAAAATGACATGAGCAAGACTATGGCAAAGAATGAATAGAAATCACC